CTTGAGGCCCTCAGCCCCCCCACCAGTCGCCAGGGGCAGCTCCGAGCCGCGTTCACCTGAACGCGCTGCAGACGGTGCAGGGCTCAGCATGCGGAGGAAGGGGCGGGTGCAGCGCGGGGCGGGGCCGGAAGACAGCGTGCTGATTGGCCTGCTCTGCCTGCAGGGTCACCACAACGCTGATGCTGGTTGTTGAGGCATCGATCCCGCGCAAGCGCACTATTGACCTGATCTGGAGGAGGGCGATGTTAACATAGGACGCCGACCTGTTGACCGCGCCACCTGCTAACCTGCCTCCCTTTTCGGGTGTCTGCACGTGGGTCCCTTCCTGCCACTCAGAAGAAAGGATGCCGAGCCCAGGGCCACCTGGAGACGGGTCAGGGCCGTAGCAGGTTACCGAGGGTGGCCGGTCGCCCTAATCTGTCACCAAGTTCGTATCTTCCTACACAGCGAGGCCAAACCGGATGTTCACTATCTTGATTAATTTTTTCTATAGATTAATGACTTGCCCAAGAGCACCGCCAGGAACAGCGGCACTCCTGTTTTGCTGGCCAGCTGCCTCAGGCTGAGACCAGTGCGAGTGGAGACGGCTCCCAGCACTGCAGAGCACCAGGGTCCAACTCGCGGATGCATGCAGCCTAGAACGCCTAGCAACGCGGATCAACCTCAGTCGGGAAGCCTGCTGGGAATTAGCTCAGGTGGCAGACTGTTGGATTAGCCAAGGCCCGGCATTTCTTTATCAGTACCACATAAAACGGATTGGTCGTACACAGGCTTGAAAATTCAAGCATACCAAAAGCAAACGCAGGAGGATTAGAATCCAGTCATCCCTTGCTTCTCCAATTCCTCGCCAGTATAGGCTACCCGAGACTCTGTGATGGTTAGTTTTGTCAATTCGATAGGACATAACGTCACCTGAGAAACAGTCTCAACGAGGTCTTATATGGATTGGGTTGACCCGTGGGCAAACCACTGAGACATTTTCACGGAGGTTGGGTTCTGCACTGTGCAGGTTTTGAGAGTCGATTAAGAGAAAGCTTGATGCATCCTTTCGCTTTGGTCATGGCTGTGCGTGTGGGGCAATCAGCTGCCTTAAGTTCCTGCTGCTCTGCCTCCTCCGCAGTAATGGCACTATATATAACCTAGAGTTGTCCGCTAAAATAAAGTCTTGCTCCATTTAGTTGCTCTTTGCCAGGGTGTATTACTACAGCATCAGATGTGAAACGAGGAGAGACTCTGTGTTGAAATAAGTGTAGCTTAAAAGTTGTTTTTGTGTGTGTGACTTCTTTTGTAGCGACTTCAGTTTACTTTTTAGACAACAGATTGAAATGTCGCACAACATAAAAATATGGCTTTGTTTGTATGTACGTGTGGGCTCCGTTTTATGGTGGTTTCCAGGGTGTTATCTTCTAGGTGCAGACAGTAAAACTGGCACCACCAGGTGTTACATATGCTTGTGGTGACTTGAGTGAAAGGCAGCGATTATTGAGGTTTGAACTCTTATTGCAGAACAGGTAGACTTTGGTTTGGGATGGTCTCACTAAGTAACTCTGGCTGATCTGGAACTTGATATGTAGACTAGAGTGACTCCAAACTCACAGAAACCTACCTGCCTCCGCCACAACAAAATAAATAAAAATTAACCAGAACTCCAGAGACAAACTACATATGAAGGATGCCTGTTCAGCAAAAAATGGACAGATGGCTATGTTTTTGTTGAGGCACTCTGCTTAATTTGCAGGGAATTCGTGTAAGTTTTCTAAGACTATGACTTGAAAGGCATTATATACAGACAAACTGCCCAATTAGGTGCTTATCAAGGGTCGTATTGTAAGGAAAAACAGAACTGGAAAACTTCATTTTGGTACACCTTCCTTGTCTCTTTTCAGTTACTACATTACCTACCACTTTTCAAATGGAATGCAGAGTTGCAATCTGACATCCAAGTTAAAGGAAAATCTGACTGTGTCTGATGTTTATAGGTTTATCTTTGTAGACACACCCACCACTCACCTTATTCATGTCAGCAGCTACATATGAGCAACTATTTTCAAGAATGAAGTACAAGTAAGAGTGAAGTTAGAACAAAAATCTGATGAACGCCTATGAACTGAAACTACTTCCTTCCACTGAACCAGATATTTATGTATTAGGTCTTCAAATATCCCACTAAGCTTTAGTTATCAGTGACTGCAAATCGGGGACCTGCCCAGAGATTTTAAGACTCTGAATGGAGTGCTGCATAATTAGAATCAGTATGCAAAACATTTTGTTTATATATGCTAGTAGAGATTATCAAAATTGTACATGGACACCCCCATTTTGCTAGTGTATTTTCTGGGTGGCCCCAAATGATAGCTCTTGTCTAATGTGGGCCAGAGCAGACAAAATGTTAGATCTCAGCTGTAAAGCTTGCTGAGTGGAGCAGGGCAAGAATTCTAGGAAGTGGAGTGGGTAAAGATTTTGGGAGAGTTAACAAATGATGTGACCCCTCTTTTTCTGTAGGCTGAGATGTGAACCCAGACCCTTAAATATGCTTGTCAAATGCTCTACCACAGAGCTACATGCTCAACTACTCACAAGCTTTTCCTGGTGCCAGGGTGTCTGCACATGGCTGGCTAATGGAATATAAATAGAATATCACATGCCCTATCCATACCCAAGAGTGAGAGTATCCCTCAGTGGGAATGTCAGAACCAGCTGTATCATGTGAGACCTGTGAATGTAGAAGGCTTGCTGTAACTACTGTGTAAAGGTGGCGTTCAGTTGTATCCATCATGTTAGTATATCACTAAATATGTTTTTCATTATGTGTTTCAATTTCGGTTCCACATGCAAAACATGTCTGCTCCTGCTTCAAATTCTTTTCCAAGTAACTTCATAGTGGTCAGCTGAGTTTCCAGAGATGGAGAGAACCGAGTACAGCAAAGTGAAATATAGTAATTTAGAACTAGAACAGAAAGACTGCGTTAACTGAGTCCTGAATTACAGAATGAAGGTTTTAATTAATCTCATTATTAATGGGAAAGTACATCAAAATAGATTTCAGGAAATTGAAGAAGATAAGCAAAAACTTACAAATGACATTAACAATACAAGTGATTCTAATGCCTTGACAATTATCTTTTAAATTAAGCTAGACAGTAATCTTTTTTAAGAAAGGTTTTTATTTTTAACTATGTCTATGTGTGTGGGTATGTGTATGTGCACTGACTCCCCCAGGGCTATAATTGTGAGCTTCCTGACATGGGTTGCTAAGAACTGAATTCATTCTGAAAGAACAGCATGCTACTCTTAATTACTGAGCCATCTCTCTAGCTCTTATTAGTAATAAACTTAAAAAATGATTGGGGTTCCTGCTGCTTATCAAGTTTGGTTAACTTCAAGGTGTCAAACACTTATTCCTACAGAAAAACTAATGTTTCTTTTTACACTTTTGTAAGTAAACTGACTACGAAGAATGATCAATAAATTAGACACAAAAGCACCATGGATTGGTACAGAGCAAGGATGTAACATTGATAAGGTGTTTAAAGATCAGCCCCTTTGAAAACAAAACTCACAAGTTCATGATGTCTTAGTCTTTAAGGATGAAATTAGGCAAATAGTAAACTTAGGGGAAAAATTATGTTCCAAACTAATGCCAGCTTACAGAGCTGAGGCAGAGGGTCATGGCACTTCCAGGCCTGGAATACAGTGAAACCATTTGAAAAAAATTCTCCACAACCTGTTGCTACTGCTGCTAGCCCTCTATGGCCCTTTTTCTGCCTCTGGCCTAACAAAAATAACCTCTCTTTCTCTCTTTTTAAGGCTTTCAGAATATATGTTTTTTAAAAATTTAAAAATTTATGTATATATGCGTGTGCACCATGCCCAGAGAACAGAAAAGGATGTTGGATCCCCTAGAATTGGAGTTACAGATAGTTGTGAGCCACCACCATGTGGGTTCTGGGAACTGAAGTTGAGTCCTCCCAAGAAAGAAATCAAGTTGTCAGGCTTGCACAGCAATGCCTTTAGCTGCTGGGCCTCTCACCAGCCCAGACCTTCATTGCTATTTTTTTATTTCCCTCACAACATATCCTAAACTCTCTTCATTAAAAACTAGTTTTTCGCCAGTTGTGGTACTTCATGCCTTTAATCCCAGCACTTGGGGAGGGGCAGAGGCAAGTGGATCTCTGTGAGTTCCAGGACCGCCAGAGCTACAAAGTGAGACCCTGTCTCAAAAAACAAATACAATATAATAGTAATAATAACAACAACAGTTTTTCTGAGCTGGAGAAATGGCACAGTGGTTAAGAGCACTGGCTCTTGCAGAGGACCTGGATTCAGCATCCAGCACCCATGTGACGGCTCGCAGCAACCATAACTCTGGTTCTAGGCGATTCAATGTCCTCTTTTGATCTCTGGGAGCACCAGGCACGCATGTGGAGTTCGCATACATAAAGGCAGGCAAAACATTCATACAGAGGATAAACAAAATCTAAATAGAAAATTTTTGTTTTGTTTTTTGCTTTTTTGAGACAGGGTTTCTCTGTAGTTTTAAAGCCTGTCCTGGAACTAGCTCTTGTAGACCGGGCTGGCCTCTAACTCAGAGATCCACCTGCCTCTGCCTCCAGAGTGCTGGGATTAAAGGCGCGTGCCACCACCGCCCGGCTTAAGAATTTTTAAAACTAAAACTTTCAACTTGTGCAGTGCTAGGGACTGAACTCAGAACCTAGACAAGGGCTGTATTGCTGAGCTGTATTCCCACACTCCAGTTTTACTTTTTTTGGAGACAGTTCTGTCCCTAGGATGACCCAGTCTCTTATGTTCCATTGAAATTCCTGTTTGAGAAAGCTCAATTTTGTCAGGAGAATGTACTGTTTATTTTGGGCAACACCTGGGTGTTAATAATAATGGGTCCCAGACTTACTTTTCTTAGAGCACTTACTAAAAAGGGCCTACAATTTTGAATCCTTCCTTTTTTCCCTTTATGGTAGTGTACATATTTCTTACAGTTTAGAATTATCCTTCACAAAGAGCCAACAGCCATACATATCTTTGCAATGTAGTCATTAGGAAAGACAGGGCCTCCGTCTCCTGGTCTTGGAGACACGAAAACGATCCTTTGGTCTAACTTTAGTTGGGTCTCTGACCCCTTCTCTAGGCCCACCTCCACACTATCTTGTCAAACCTGGTTTCAATAAGGAATTTTGTGTAGTAAGTTTACCAAGACCACTCCTCTACCCATCCTGCATGTCAGGATTCTCAGTATAAACACAAACCTTCCAAGACTATCTTCAGCAAGAGTCCAGTTTGGCTTAACCAGTCCCCCTTTACCCTACTTTTTCCTCTTATCAACATTCCATCCACTGACCCCAACACCGATCTTTGGCTATAAATTTCCTTTTGTTCACGCTGTAGTTGGAGTCCAATTTCTCCCCGACTGCACTGCCCCCTGCATCTCGTTCTACAATCCTTACACAGTCTTCCTGATCGTTCTTTAACAAACCACGGAATAATACTTTTTAACACGGAGAAGAATCCTACCGTTTAACTGTCAACTGGCTTATAGCATCTACAGTGAGCAGCTCTGTAATTCCTTTCCCTTCTCATTCACGTTCCTTTTAAAACACCTAAAGACCCCTACGCAATTAGGAATGCAGTTCTTGACTACTCAAAATCTTGTAACCGCTTTACCAAACACGGGCTGTGTTGTACAGAATCCCATGGGACGAGAATTCTGCCCAGGTGCGTGCTTCATCTCCAGGGAAAAGTCTGACCCGGCTGAGGCAGTCAGCACCATGCAAACACCCCACCTTGCAGCTCTTAGCAGCTGTCCTTCTTGCCTAAGTAGCAGGGGCATCCAGACCACTCATTTATGGAGTAGGGAGTGATACACTGGGCTTAGTTTGAGCCTCGTCCTACTCCTCAAGGCGAGCAACGCTGAGATTCCCCCCCCCTCCCATTCACGGCGTAGCTGGCGGCCAGTGAGGCCAGCCACTTAGCAGGAGCGACGGCAGGGAGGGAGCGGGAGTTTCGCTCACTTTTCCTGACACAAAGTCCGCCGGTTTCATTGAAGTGAGAGAAATCACCTTTGGACAACGACTTTTTTAATAGCAGTCCCCAGATAAGAGAGAGTCGAAGCCACCGAAACCGGAAGCAAACAACACCACTTCCTGTTTACGCTTGGAAGGGACCGTCTGCAGCCACCGCCTCTATGCCGTAAAGCAAGATGTCCGCTCTCTTACGACATTATTGCTAGCACTTCCGTGGTCGGGAGGGACTCTAGGTCTCCATCACCCGCTGTAGTTTTTCTCAGAATCTCATATTCAGGCGTTCATTTCACTTAGACTCGGTGGGGATGAACCGGAAGCCAGGAAAGGCGATGTTGGACAAAGAGCGGCGCCATCTTGTACGGACGCTGAAGGCCAGCATTCCGCACGTTGAGCCCGCACAGGGCTATGCTTGTCAGTGAGGAAGGGAGGGATAGCGTTGTTACGCGATGGCATATTTCCGTTTCCTCTCCGCCGGGGCGTTTTTGGTTGGACAGTCTTGTTGCGGGGAGGGCGGGGGAAGATTGTTTGCTCCCTAGACGCTCCCTGGACAGCAAGGTAAACTGAGGTAAAGCCAGGACGGGATTTTTTGCTCTTGGTCATTAGAGATGACTAGGTCTCAGGCCTTGGGACTACGGAAGAGTGTGGGGTTGAAGCCTCGAGGCTCAGATAATCCGCAGGACTGGTGAGGCGAGGTTGAGAGGCTTAGAAGGTGAATTGCTAAGCCGGATTGGGTGGTGGGGGACCGACTGGATCAAAGGAGGGAGTGGATGAGAGGATGGGGGCTCAGAGGGGAGTCTGGAAGATGCTGACTAGGGAGGGGCTGGAGTGAGAGGAACAGGGACAGGGGCAGAGTCGGACCTCAAGTCCTTGAGGCCTGAGGAAAGAAGTTGAGGTGGGGACTGGTTGGACCACACAAAGTGTGTGTTTGGGATACAGTGGTGTCTTTGGGAGACCCAGGACTTGGAAGAGGCTGCTGGCCAAGGTTCTGATGCTGACATCATATATAACTTGGCCTTTGTTTCTCCTGCAGCTCCCCAGAGGCTCGTCTCTTAGCCTCTGCTCGGACTTAGCCTTCTCTCCATCTGTCACCGCAGCCTGGAGGCGCTTGCCTCCACCCTCCCGAATGGTGCTCCTCTTCGTAGGCCTCGGCCCAGGATCCAGGCCCCCTTTGCTCCTTGACTTGGAGCTGTTGCTGCTGGGGTCTCTCGGTGGACTCCCTGTGGTGGGGTGTGAAGAACTTTCACACAGACAAGGCTTTAGTTATAGGGACCTCGCCAACACTTTGAATCTCGGCCTCTAACCGAGCGCGAGGCTGGTCCTGTACCCCTTTCCCCCCCTGCCTTTGAGAAGAGAAGCCCTTCTCTTTGACATCCAAAGCCCAGGAAGCCTCAAGCTGGGGCCCTGGTCCCAGCATGTCAGCCCTCTCTTGTGCATAGGGCTCTGCCCTCTTCCAGCCAGCATGGCTGATTTCAAAAAGGCTCCAGGAGGCCGAGAGACTCCTCAGGGGGAACTGCGGCCAGAGGTGGTAGAGGATGAAGTCCCTAGGAGCCCGGTCGCAGAGGAGCCTGGAGGAGGTGGAAGCAGCAGCAGTGAGACCAAGTTGTCCCCTAGAGAGGAGGAAGAACTGGATCCTAGGATACAGGTGAGAAGGCCAACTGGATGGAGGGTAGGGAAGCACAGGTTCCAGACTTGCTGAAGAGATGTCCGAGGAGGGGGGCCTTAGACTTACTCTCCCACAGTGCACTGGGGTGGGGAAGGAAAACAGATCTGCTCACCAAGCATTGCCGTTTATCGTGACAAGTGCCAACGGAAGTGCTGATGGCGAACCATAGCCCTGCCTGAGTGCTCGGGGTATGCTGGGTGATGGTACACTTCAGGGCAGAGAACCATTGTTCTTCTTTCTGGCTAAGCAGAGGGGCTGGGAGCCCAGATGTCTTGCATGTACTGGAGGCAAGAAGAGGTGACAGATTGGGAGGCAGTTTTGAGGTTAAGTGAGGGAATCTTTCCATTTTTCTGCCTTCTCAGCAGTGTCTCAGAATGTAGTTGTGAGATCTTTTGAGTATTTGAAAGGCACTATAAAAATTTCTGTCTGTATTTTTTTTTTTAAGACAGGGTTATTTTAGACCATGGTGGCCAAGAACTCAGAGATCTGCCTGACTCTGCCTCCCAAGTGCTGGGATTAAAAGTGTGACCTTCATGCCCAGCAAAAAGCCTCTATATTGCAAGGATTTAGACCAGTTGGGATCAGTCCTTATTATACATTCCTGACTCTTGGAATTATGGATTTACCAAAAGAATGGTAGAACGGT